CCCCAAAACCCCAAAACCCCAAAACCCCATTAATCATAAATATTTTATAAAAATGAAGAAAGCCCCAAAACATTTGAAGATTCTTCCCATTGGAATGGATGCGCTTAGATTAGGTATTCTGGTTAAATAAGATATCTATAGTTACAAATTCAAGACAAGGTAGAAGGAAAGGAAGTGCAATATCAAAAGGGTAAAATTTTACCTCAACAACTTCTAGTAAAATCAAAACTAAAAAGCCAAAACTAAACACCCGACCAGTATCTACCATAATCACCCGCTTAGAAGCCTCAAAACAGCTCCAAAACCCCCTCAGAATCCTCCCAAACCCCAAAAAGGGATAATCCTAAACGTACCACTCCCATAACCCTTCAGGCCACCCTCGTGCTCCAAAATCAGATGTTGAAAACTCAGCTACATTCAGTATCTCAAGCGATTACCTTCGTAAACCCAGGCATCAGAGAAAAGTCTCTAATTTGTAAGTGAAACTTCAATTTTGGTCTTAAGAGGGAGTATTAGTGCTGAAAGTGGGCTTCTAGTGGGTTTTAAGAGAGCTTTATGGTAGAATTGTTGGGCAAGGGATTTAGTGGAACCAAAAAGCCCGAAGCATCGCTACAAAAGTCTAAACGAAGACAACGTAACCACAGAAGAGACATGAACAGATCGATAGACCTTCCTCAAACTCCTTTCGACATATTCAAATCTTTGCTTACCCAATCACAGATGGGTCACCACCACAACCACAGAGAAGCCAGGTAAGGAATAACTTTCAGCTAAATCCAAGCAACAACCTGCAAAGAGGTATTTGGCAGCCAGCCTGACACCTCTGTGCACTCTTAAGGGAGCTTCGGCCTCAAGAGATGGAACACTTGGAAAAAGAGGATTTTAAGAGCTCCAATGAAAGTTTTGTTCGAGAAGAGATTTCAAAATTTTGAAAATCTTTTATTGAAATTTTGGGGAAAGTTTGGATTTTATGCTGTAAAATTCTTGGGTTAGATTATTGCTTATGAAGATTTCTTTATTTTTGAGAAGAGGTTTAATTTTCCATTAATATTGCTTGTTAGTGTAGAATTTTATGAGCTGGAACTTCATAATTTCTCTAACAATTAGAGCCTATCTCTAGATTATCCTCATAAAATAAATTATCAAATTCCAACTTCACGAGGAATGAGCTAAATATAGAAACTATAATTTTCTCATAGCATAGAACTAGAGCTTTCTCAAACCCCAGAGGACTTCCTTTAATTTGAAATCTTTAAACCCAATACGAGATAATGAGAAATAGGGTCGGCTCCAATGATGCTCATGCAATTAGCACTATCTCAAGAATGCAAAGATCAATAAATCACGAGAAGGAACAAGAAGAAAGTAGGCTATACGGGTCATGTCTAGATCAAAGAATAATCGATTCGTTAAAATAAAGAAAATGATGAATTGAACAGAAAAATTCAGATTCTTGAGCACAAAGTAGATTATGATATATTATTTTTAGCTGACCAAATCAAACGAGATATCCTCCAACCTTCAATTTCAAATCCAGAAGGTTGAAGAAAAGCAGTCCAAGATAGAGGAGCTACGTGAGAGGATGCAAGAATTCAAGAAGAAGTATAAATAAAAGTAACTGAATTCTCTCATTATTTTCTACAGTGAAGCATAAGAAAGAGAGCTTATATCTCAACAAAATTAATGAGTACAAAACTAGGGAACAAATATTGATCCCAAAATTTAAACAATTGTATGCTAAATGTGAGGAATTAGCAAAATGGAAGAAAATTCATAGTTGTAAATGGGATAACCTCGAGCGGGACTCAATAGAAAATAAGCTCCGGTGGGTATTTAATAACAACCAACAAGAATTGGAGACCTATCTTAAGTCCCAAATCCATACTACTCAAGAATCAGATGCGAATAACCTTGTGGTAAGTCAGCAGTCTTGAATTGCTCTTTAGACTCCAGTAAATGAAATCAAAGATATCAATCTCTCCCTAGCGCAAAGACCATTCAAAATAAGTGAATTCTAGAAATTATTCAATCTTTCTTCTATTTAAGAAAATCTTTTGGGGTTTTGGGGTTTTGGGGTTTTGGGG